TGGGTGTTGTTTTTGTATTTCTGGGAGCGAGGCTTTTGCAACTCTCTCACATTATCCCTTGCCATAATTTAGTTTGATTCTTTCTCAGAGCGGTTGGAAAACTAACGCCTCTCGTGGGCGTGTGGGAATTGCTATAAAAAAGGAGCTGCGCTGGATAATAATTGCCTTCTGTCAGTTGACCCGCTTCATGCTCGAGTGTCCTCGTCAAAAGTTCCCACACACGCCTCGTCCTGGCACCCTCCCTCCCCCTTACCCTCTCCTCTCCCCTACTCCTGTTTATCGCATGCCGATACACACACGAACAAAGCCCGTTGATTGTGCGCTCTCTCTCTCTGTTTGTTTGTAATTTAAATTCTCTTGCACTTCTGGCGATCGGCAAAGCCGAGGAGGAGTAGGGGGAGGGACTAACCACCACCATCAGAGGGTCCTGCGTCCTACTCCGCCTCCTTTAATGGTGGCGGTACTGGTAAACTAGTGGTGGTGGGTTCCTTCCTTCCTTCCTTCCACTCGAACTTCCCCCTTTTGCACGTGGATTTCCACTAAACGCCGTCTGCGCGACATCAAGGTGATCGTGAGAAAGTTTTTTTCTCACATTATTCCACAGCGACTCCTGTTTTAATTTTAGCCTCTGTTGGAATTATTATGCATTTATGAATTGATATGACTCGCGGTGGCTCTATTCTTACCCCTAGGGATGACTGTACTTATTGGAAGATTTACAGTTTTTGACGTCAGCAGAAGGTTGTGTAGGGGAATTTCTGGAGAACCATAGTTCCCATTCCCCTTTGTTTAAGTATGCGGTTATCCCCACTAATTTGACTATCAATTGATTATAATGTTCAAAACTGGTATTTGAGGTAGTATAAGCACAAGATAGGATTTTGTCTGATAGGATTTTATTTATTTAAAGAACCCAACATTTTTTATTTATGAACATGTATCATGAAATATAGCAATATAAATTATATTAAAGACTCGTAAGCATTATTGACATGTTTTAGATATTTTCAAATTATTTTTAATAGTAAATCAATCAAGTAATAAGTATTCTGGCAGTTTATTGTATTTTTCAGGAAAAACAAATAAAAGTATAGTTACAGTATACGGTTATACATAAAACTAACATGCCTTACATATTGGATATGTTTAAAAATTCAACAAATTCTTTGGGCAAAAGATTTTTTTATGACAGATGTTAGGGTTAGAAAAGTGCCATCGTAACTGCAACCGCAAATCTTTACAATAAACAAATCCCACTTAATCTCCCCGCAACCCTTCTCCGTCGCCGTAGTTTTTGTGATCTTCAGCAGCTGTTTCGCATCAGGCACACTCCATCCGAAAACCATTCTAAGACGCATCTCCTTCGATGTTATGTAAGACGTTCGCCGGCAATTAGGGCCCGCTAGAAGCCAGAGAAAAACCCCGCACGTCCCCTTCAAAGTCAGTTTTCCTTAGCGCCGACCATTGTCCGGGCCGAAATCCATTGTTTTCATGGCCCAAAGAAGTGACAGGGGATGGATGCAGTTGGGAGGACGGATAGTGGGATGCAGTCGGCAGCTGTGGCAATCTTTGGCACGAGGGCGAAAGACAGTTTAGTGCAAATGTTGGCTTAGGAGCAGCTGATCTTCCAAGTGACCGTTACATCAGCTGGCATGGGTCACCAATCAATGGGATCAATGATCTTCAATTGGCGGTTATTGGGCAAATTAAATTTTTTTACTATATTCGGTTATTAGGGGAAGATTATTAAGAAAGCTTGTACATAAAAAAATAAATAAAAAATAAAATATTTATACACTTGAAGCACATCAGACAAAATGTTCTATAAGTTGTAAACAAGAGCCCGTTTTAAATCTGAGAACACTGTAAAAATACAATATATTTAAAAATATGTATGTCCTTACCAATCCATAATAAGTTTTTACAGTACACTGTTTCAGTCCATATAAAAACTTTGAAAAAGAGAAGTTCTGGAACATAACGAAATTAAAGCCATGAAAAACTAAATACAACCACCAAAAGTGTGATAATTCCGCTTTCCCTAAACACTCATAACTTATAGCTGCCTTCATCTCTTTTTTAAGCGGAACATACTTTTCCCCCTTTTGGAGTCTGTCAAAAAGAACTTTCCAGTTATTAGCCCTACTCCTGCTTGGCCATTTATCAAATTCATAAAAACGAAATCTCCCACAGGAGGAAAAAACAATCAAATAGTCGGGCGGCCCGTCACGACTTCTAATGCCCCGCAGACCGCACACTTCACTCAGGATTTCCCCCGCGACTAAGCGCCATAAAAATCAACAAGGAATTCATTTAAATCAACATATATCTTACCCAAAGGAGGAGTTCTATTCGCTTCCCCAACCCCCGCCAAAATCCACTTGGGCTTAGTTCCGTTTGGATCAGTTCACACATTTGCTACCGTTTCATATTTTTCATGCTCATTATTTTTGGTGCACGTATGTGTTGGGTGGAGAGATGCGGGGGCGTTGCAGCCAGCACACCCCAAGTAATAACTGCAGTTCCCACAGCTAAAAATACATACACCCAAAGTCACTAATTTGAGGTTGAGAAAGGTCTCCGACTTCGTCTCCGCTTCCCAGTTCCCTCAGAATTGATTAAAAAAAAGAGGGAAGTAGATCGTCACTGGTAGACAGATCGAAGCTCCCAACCGACCGGCTGTACAATAAAAATTAAAGTGTTTTAATGTGTAAATCGTGCGTTGGGAATAACGCACCGGGGATCGCCGGTCGGGAAGCCCCAAAAAGGAGGACTGCAAGATACAGATACGAAACCCGGCTACCGATCAGCAGCGATCGTGCCACACTAAATGGCGTTTACCTTGATCCCTTGGCCGGGAAGAAAGAAAAAAGGAAGAGCAGCGAGAAGAAGCCACAGCTCTGGTGTTTGGGGCTGATATTGAACTTTGATTTCTGACTGGTTTCTTCGTTATAGAATTTCAATTCTCAGTTTCTGCCGAAGCAGCAGACCTGCACGTTTCGCCAGACGATTGATCCACATATGTCGGATGTTTCTGAGGTTTCTTCAGCTCTGGCTTTCTTACATACTGCCAGCTCACTGAGTTTATTTGGGGTTTTCGTGGGAAAATGTTTGCCAAATTTGCGGCATTCAAAGGAGCTCCAAAGTGAGGGTTATTAAGCCGGGTGATATGCTCATCAGTCCAGAATTCGACCGAACCCCATGGTTTGGTTTGTCAACCATGGCACTAGCATTTATTCAATTTACGAAAGCTGACATGATCAGTGCTGCAGAGCTTGTGGATGATGGATGACCACCACAGATGATTGCTCAACTCGGAATTTACGCTCAGTCCGCGAGGGATTACTTTGCACAACCAGAGTTGCCAGGCGGCGCAATAGATTTACGATCCCACCCGTAACTCCCCAAACCGGGATATAGGTACACATCTAGGTAGGTACTATGTCAGCTGTCAGCTGGCGTATGGCCCGCGACCATGGTTATTGACAACTCCTTTGGTCGTAATCCTGCCAACATCGTAAAGTAATAAATTTGCCTGAAAAAGGAAAATCTGCCCGGGGATCGACTATAAAAACTGGCCAAGTCAGGTAAGCTCCGTAATGATTGACCCCGACCCCGATCCCGAATTCGAATCCGAGTTCCAAGATCCAGGTCTGATTCTGATCTATCGTAAGTCGCAATCCCGGTCCCAGTCCCAAGCAACCCCCTTTAAGACGCTCCTGATGAGGCAGGCTACGCAAAAATAAAGGATCTCAGACCGAGCATTTCGCCTTGCAAGGGGGTTGGGTTGTCCGGGGGTTGCGACAGCTGCGACGAACAATTCCCAAGGAGTTCTTAATGAATTGCAAATCATTGGAAGGGCATTGATCAAGTTTGCCCCAGCCAAGGGTGAAATCTGTGCGACTAAAATTGCCATCATCCGAAATACAGCCGGACTTATAGAGCTCGTACCAACATCTGTCGCGAAAAATGCTTCTTATCAATTAATTCTATTCATTAGTTTATAAATGTATCTCTTGAAAAAGAAAGATGTTTTTTATAATTTCGTATTATTAAGTAGTTGCTATTACTTTCAATAATATTATTTCTTTTTACATATTTAAATCAAAATACTGAAAGATTAAAACCATTTTTTTGTTTTCGTAAAATAGTTAATATTATTTAAATTGTAATTAAAGTATATATTTAAAACTCTTTTTACCTAAAAAAAAAGAAAATCAAAATAAAATCAGTTTCTGAACTTTTGAAATTTTTAAAAGTCAAACTCTCCAAACGTTGATTAGAATTAAAGCTATGTACATATGTATGTCGAAGAACAAAACGTCTTGATTGTTTAAAGTGCGATTCGGGTTGTTCCAGGTTTTATTTCGACTTTGCGAGCATTTTCCAAATCATATTGTAACCAATTCAAAGAAATTAGTTTACTGAAATGCAATATTTACAATATACTGTTTATTGGCTTTAAATTTTATTCTGTCTTTTTGTTGTAAAAATAATATAATTTCTTCACCTTTAAAGTGATTTTTGTATTTTCCAAAAGGAGGTTTTCTTGAAAGTGGTTTAAAATATGAGTTATAAGTTACTAAAAATCCGGAATTATTACACGACATAAGGCTAATCATTCGGCTTAACCGAATGTTGTGTTGTTTTTAGATCAGAGTCGGGCTTACGAACGTTTACTTAAGTTAAGCTCCTATATTTTGCCTAATCCCGCTGGATGCCGCAATTCGTTGACTCGACAACTCTGCCCGCATTGGAATTAACTCACTCTTCCGAAATCGAGTGCCCAGCTCATTGGGGTGGTTTCTGCTCACTCAATTACACTCACTCCGCACTTGAGTGGAATTCCGCTGCTGCGGTGGAAAAGTTCTCAGTCTGCAGACGGCGATCGCTGAGTTTGCCTACCTGGCTCTGCCCGCTGCCGCTGCTTGCTGCCTCTGCCGCTGCCCGCGTCGCCAGGTAAACGAGCGACTTCGACTCACTCGGGACTCGTTTCGCCTTCGCCTCGATGTGTTTTTAGTCAGTGCTCGTGGCCTCCGAGGATCAGTATCCTTTTGGCATCTCGTGAGCGCGGTCGTCTGCCGCTCTCCTTCGCATAAACACTTTGAAAAATTAATACAATATTAAACTAGAACGATTTTACAACGCGTACCGTTTGTTAAGTTTTTATTGTTCGGCGGACATTACTAAGAGTACGTGCAATAATTGTTATAACTGTTTTCGTACTTGAACCAAAGTTACTGTGTTGTGAAAAAACCAACTGAAGCTGACATTTTTGGATTACCCCTTACTTGGATATACAAATTAAAATCGTTACAAAATGGATTATAAAAACGATATTAATTCCGACGACGATTTCGACTGCTCCAATGGCTATAGCGACAGCTATGGCTCCAATGGACGTACGTCCAATCCCAATGGATTGTCAAAAGCTGAATTGAGAAAGGTAAATTGTTGGGTGAGTTGATAGTTGGGGTTCTACTTAAATTTTTTATGGGATATAAAGAAAATTCAGTATGGTATGGAAATGGTTCGCAAATTAAACATTTTGAAATTGAGAATAAAAATACGTATAAAAAAATATTTTAAAAAGATCAAAATGCGTTTGTTGTAGTGCTTAAAAATTATACAGAAAACAGAGTTTAACAAACATTTAAATATAAACCATTAAAAACCTTATCAAAAGACTCGTATATTGTTGTATAAACACGTTTTCAAAATTCGGACCAATTACTTTTAAATATTGATAATTAACTAATTGCATTTTCCTTTCTTTTGTAGACCAACAAACCGATTATGGAGAAACGTCGCCGGGCTCGCATTAATCACTGCCTCAACGAACTGAAGTCCCTGATCCTGGAGGCCATGAAAAAAGACGTAAGTATCCTTTTCGTGAGTCAGGAAAGATTTCGAGCTGTCCGCCCGCGATTTAGAAACTAGGCCCCCGATCAGTATCACTTTCCCAATAAATTATGTCAGACCATAAAAACCCTTGAGATACAAGTGTCCGAGGGCGGCAAAAGTACAAAAGGACAAAAAACTCCATGTATATAAAAAACCAACTCCTACGACACAAGAACGGCAAAAAAAAAACACAAACCGAGGGTTCTAATTGAGTATTAAATTTTATTGATGATCATTACACGAGAGCGCCGACGAGGAGTCAGTCAAGAGACCAAAAAGTGTTAACAAGTCGAGGAATTACGCAGAAATCGTCGGAGATGCGAAAGAAACCAGTTTCCAAGGAGTGATCCTGCTGTGAGAAAACTACAAAGCAGAAATCAAGTAAAATTTGCCGCCGCAGAATTCTGCAGGAGAGCCGGACCAAAAATCAAATAAGAAAGACATTGAGGGAAAAAAGCAAAAGTAAACAAAAGGTTCAGACAGGAGAGCGGGGGAGGGGCAAGCGGGAGGGGGCGGGGGACTGGCGAGCGACCTGCGTGGGAACCTTTTGCTAAAATATGCAGTCCCAGAAGGCGAAAAAGAGACGGCGAAACGGGGAGCGAAGAATGACGAAGATCGCACAGAGCAAAAAAAAAAGTATCTTGACGATCGAGAACAAAATTCGGAATGTCCATTCCCTGAGAAAGTATTTCACCATCTTAAAGGATCAGATATTTTTTAAAGATGCTTCTAAGTTTCTTCAAACCGCTTGGTTGGTTAGCAACTTTTTGGGTACAGAACTACCCCCCTTTTTCTCTCAGTGCACAGAACGAAGATCGGTCGTTCTTCTCGCCGTTGTTGCTGAATCTCACCTTGGTCGTGTGATATTTACAGAGTGGACTCGCCTGAAGTGGACTGCAGATTACACGCGAATAGTTGGACATATGAGGCACGAAACGTGCTCCTTAACTTTGCTTTTTTCCCAGGCATTGAACTTGTTGTAGGGCCCCCAAACAATTAGCCCGACCATCTCCCATCCCCCATCCCCCATCTCCCACTCCATCATCTTGGTTTTCGTCATTATCTGACTGTGGCTCTTTCTTCTCTCTGCTTTTAGCCGGCTCGTCATACCAAACTGGAGAAGGCCGACATACTTGAGATGACGGTGAAGCATCTGCAGTCGGTGCAGCGCCAGCAGCTGAACATGGCCATCCAGTCGGATCCCGCCGTGGTGCAGAAGTTCCGGACGGGATTCGTGGAGTGTGCCGAGGAGGTGAACCGCTACGTCAGCCAGATGGACGGCATCGACACGGGTGTCCGTCAGCGGCTCAGTGCCCATCTGAACAACTGTGCCAACAGCCTGGAGCAGATCGGCTCGATGAGCAACTTCAGCAACGGCTACCGCGGTGGATTGTTCCCCTCCACGCCCGCCACGGCGGCTCCCACTCCGCTGTTCCCTTCATTGCCGCAGGACTTGAACAACAACAGCCGCACGGAGTCCTCTGCTCCGGCCATCCAAATGGGCGGCCTCCAACTGATTCCCTCCCGTCTGCCCTCGGGGGAGTTTGCCCTGATTATGCCAAACACCGGATCCACGGCTCCGCCGCCGGGACCCTTTGCCTGGCCAGGATCTGCAGCTGGAGTGGCAGCAGGAACAGCCAGCGCCGCTTTGGCCAGCATCGCCAATCCCACGCATCTGAGTGACTACACACAGAGCTTCCGGATGAGCGCCTTCAGCAAGCCGACCAGCAATGCCACCAATCCGACCAACCTCCAGGGAACCCACATCCAGCCGCTGCCCGTGCAGACACAGCTGCCCTCGAAGACCAACTCGAGCAGTCCGCCCCTGAGCCCCATCTCCTCGGTCTCCAGCCACTGCGAGGAGTCGCGGACCGCCTCGCCCACCGTCGATGTGATGAGCAAGCACAGCTTCGCCGGCGTCTTCTCCACTCCGCCGCCGACCAGTGCGGAGACCTCGTTCAACACCAGCGGATCGCTCAACCTGAGCGCCGGAAGCCACGACAGCAGCGGATGCTCCCGAACGCTGGCCCACTTGCAGCAGCAGCAAGTGAGCTCCACCAGCGGAGTTGTGAAGCGGGAGCGGGAGCGGGAGGAGGCGGCCGACTCCAGCGACTGCTCCTTGGACGAGCCCTCGTCCAAGAAGTTCCTCGCCGGCGCCATCGAAAAGTCCAGCTCTGCCTGGAGGCCCTGGTAGTTCATCCCGGATAGAGCCCACCCATTTATACGTTACGTTTATCCATTGTTAATTTATTTCATTGCAATTTTTTTCAAAGATCACCAACTCAAATGCTTTAGAACCCCCCATTAAGTTTTCAACCATTTTCTGTATGTTTTTGTGTACCACCGTTTCGCTTTCTTCTTTTTAAGTTCAGCTGTGATTTTGTATATTTTTTGTGTAGTTCTCATTTAAGCATTTTTATACGATATTATGTAGTTTATTAACTCATTATGTTCTTCAATGTTTCTGTCATTTCCCATTTGTTTAATTAACTAAAGGAGTTTCTATTTAGTTATGTAGATGTCATTGTAAAGCGTTTACCATTAAGTCTTCACGTTTCTATTTTAGTGGTTTATTACAACGATTGTATTTTAGTTATAGGAAAAACAAAATTCGATGACTGGAAAAGAGTGAATGTAATGATAATAAAAGACAAATGCTTCGAAAAAAAGCAAATAATCTTGAATTTTGTTAGGGGTTTTTTGGAAATTAGAACAAGTTTTATGGTTTTTAGCAAATCAAGTTACAGGTGTCATCAGAAATTCAATTACTTTACCTCATCAAAATAGTTGGAAAAATAATCGAATCCAAAATCTATACTAGTAAAAACATTTTGAAAAGCTTATATTACTTATTTATTAAATCAATTTAAAAAGCTTTAGTTTAATTCGGACTGACTTTAATGACTGTACAGAATGCTAAGAAAATAAGAGACAAATTCTTAGGGTTTTATTTTTTAGAGATTTTGGGAGGGAGTACTTCGTATTTTTTAAAAATGCTATTTTTTAGCATTTTAAGATGGCATTCAGCTCATACAATATGGGAAGCAATCACAAGACTGATAGTATTATGACTATAACGGAAATAACCTTGCAATTAATGCTCATCGTTTTTGTAATGTTCGATCGAACAGATGACCCAATGTCAAGCTCTCAATCGATGCTATAAAAGCCCAATGCACGCATTCAGTGCGCGAAAAACAAAAATTATTGAAAACGAGAGCGCGCAGTGATTTTCAGGCGTGCATTACAGAATCTCAAAAAACATTAACATTAGAAAAATAAAGTAGCTACCATGCTTAAAAATATGTTGAAAATTACACTAATTGTGGCAATCCTGCCAATAATTAGTTTGGCCGCTGATCCCGAAGATGGACTGCACAAATACCGCGCCTCTCCAAAACTCACGGGGCCTGTGAAACTGCTCCACGATCCCGAGGACGGCATATTGAACACTCTGGACGAGGCTCTTGAGAAGATCTCTACGATTTATATGCAGGCCTTGTTCGCTGGCACCCACACTCCGGAGTTGGAAGCTCCACTGAGAGCCCTTGAAATCGAGTTGTTCGATCTGTTGGATCAGCTCTATAAGCAGAATCGTCTGAAGGACTACATGAAGTACGAAGCGGAAGTGACGCGACAAATGATAATCTACAACATGCTCAAGAGATTGTTTGGCTACACTCAGGATATTGTGGAGGTTGAGGATGGAGCCCTCTGAGCTGTAAATTATAAATTTGTTCTCTAGACTTATGATAAATAACCACACAGATTAAATATATAAAACAAGATGCATTTATAAAAGTTTTTATTTCTACTATCCTGTTGTTCTACGGGTAAATGTGATTGCGTTTGTAAGACAGACTGAACAATTACAATCTATTCTTTCATAAACTTAATCTCATTTTTTAAAAGATTCTTTACTTTTCCTTACTTTTTCTTGGAAGGAAAAAAATGACCATACCATGGGAAAATAATACAGATTTGTAGTCAGCAATTTGGTTAAAACGAATTATGTTTATAACTTTAAAATTAACTCTATATAAATTCTAATGAATCAGTCAAATACTTTGGTAGTTTGCTATGTATGTATAATATTATTATTATTCCCAAAATTCCTTTAAGTGTATTGTTCACAAGAAAGTGATTGAATAAGGCTGCAACATACAAATTGATTTACATCCTCATTTCCCATTTCCAATTTCCCATTTCCCCATCCTTTCCCTTTCGACCCTTTTTCGATTTTTTATTCATAATTTGATTTCACTTCCGTAATAACTTCCGCAACAGCCTGTTCCCGTCCTGCGGCTGCCTTGCGTGTGGCTGTCGAGCGTCGGATCCTTGGGTCCTCCGAACCTTCGATATTCTGTTCCGATCCTCGACACTTCCCACACTCAATCATATCGGCGCTGCTGTTACCCGATCCTGCTGTGAGAAAAACAACAACACCTCGCCGAGAGATCGAAAATTATCATAATTTCCATTTCCTTTTTACGCTATTATCCTTTTGCATTTCCAAATACCGTTGCACTTGTTCGTGTGTTTCCCACACATCCTTGAGATCCTTTATCCCCGCTTGTTTGCTTTGTGGTTGTTCGCAGGACTCCCCGCCCCTCGTCCCCTTGCATTCCACTTGTCTCGCTGGATCCTTCGGTTTCAGTTCTTTGTGAGCAATGTTTGCTGTGATTTGATGCTGGGATCGGAATCCTCAGCATTTTTCCGTGGGGTTTCGGCTATCACTTTTATTTTTACTTTTGATTTCGTTCTTGGGAATCGCTGTGGGAATGGCCCCTTGCCTTGATTTCGTATTTGAGTTAGGGCATTTACCAATCTTTCTTTCTTTTTCAAACTTGTTTTTCGTTATTAACAGATTTTACCTTAGCGCCTGCCCTTTTCTTTTGTTTCTGGAATTCCGGCATATTTAATTGTCATTTAGCAAATTAACTTGCCAAAAATTCTCAAACTCGGGCATTGATTTTCCCACAGACAAATTCTCCCGGCCACAATAGAGTTATTCCTGCAGAAAACAAAGTCATGCGGTGTTTAGCAGGAATTCTCCCACACACACACACTTTGAATATGCCCCTGTGATCCTTTTCTGCTGCAAGAAAAAGGATGAAATGCATCCGACTACCTGTGCATCGGCAAATTCAAATCGCTTGCATTTCTCACAGGAGAACAAAAAATAGGTCCTGAATGGACCCAGCTATCTAAGGTTCCTTGGGCTGATTTGGTTTTCTTGTGGGTAACAAGTGTATCTATCAGTATCCGTGAGATGGCTGTGATCGAACAGCTTTGCGCAATGGGAAATGTGGAAGATAGGTTCTCATGATTTTCCCAGGACATGAGCGCCACGAAAATATCTTGAGAATAAACGCATAATTACGGCATCATATTGTTCTGCACCTTTTATTCAATCTTTTTTTTTCCCCAAAAAAAAAAGAAACTCTTAAATAGAGCTATTTATTGCGAATTAATTCATATTTATTATGTTTTTACAGAGTTTTCTTTTGCTGTGCGTTATCTGTCGCGCGTTAGTTATGCTTAATTAATTACATACATTATTATCTGTATAAATATAGTTTTTTACATTGTATAATTGTTAAAATTTGGCTTTTATCTGAGCATTATTTTATACAGGAAATCTCTTTCGTTTTTATGTCGATTGATTCGAAAATCGTGCAACTAAATAATGCTACATGTATGTAGACATAAGTATTCTAATTGTGGTGTAAAATATGTGGTGATGCAATTATTCCTAAGCGTTTCGTTTCTTGATTTTTATATTCTGTTTGTGCTGGCTCTTGTTCGTCCTGGCATTGTGAAGACTAAATTAATTTAAATGCATATTTGGTCAATCTCAAAAGACGAATTCGACTTCGCTCGCGTTCACTAATTGGCAAATTAATAGTGACTGCTCGAATGGTTTTCCGTTTAAATGTTAACTAGGCTGCTTGTGGGCAATAAATGTATAAAATATGTACAACGTTCCTCTTTAGCTCGCGAGCTTTAACTAAATCTACCAACTACTAAATTTACAGATCCTCAATACGTTACGGATATACACACATTCACGTATATTAAAAATTCATTTATCAAAAGGCGCATTGCTAGTAAAACGTGTAAACAAATGACAAGAAGATTTCCCGATTATTGGGTTATAAGGACATCATTAGGGACATAACAAAGGGAGCAAGGCTGCCCGAGTTAGAGCTCTTTGGATGAGGGCCGAGGTCGACCCAAAAATTAAAATAATATCAAAAATAATAGAAGGAAAAAAAAATGTACACAAACGTTTACAAAAATTCGTTATAGGGCTACGCTATCAGTCCATTGTTCGAGTTCAAATCGTTATTGAGTGTTGGGATGTGGATGTCTCCTCGGCTGACTGCGCCTAGTACAGCTCCCCCTCGCAGCGGGTCAATCATCAGAGGATGTCCGGCGTGTGGTTCTCGTCGTGCGTGTGCTGCAGCAGTCCCTTCCGCTCGTCGGGAGCCGTGCTGTGCGCTATTTCCGTGCTCACCGGCTCCGGAATGGCATCCGCGTACATCGATTCGTACACGGGATTGGCAAAGTTACCCTGCAAAATAAATTGGAATTATTTGTAGTAAGTCAAACAATTAATCTAGAGCGAATTTGTAGGTAAATATATAAAACAAAGTAACAGTTCAAGAAAGATAAGTTAAATTGAGAATTGAGAAGGATATTTTTAAAGAATTGGCCTTACCTTATCGTCTTCACTGGCGAAAGTGGGCGCCTCATCTGCATCACCGCGGTACATGGCATTGGTGAGCATGATCTCCACATTGTCTGTCAGTCGAGCATGGGAGAATGGCTGAGCTATGCGATGTTTCCTTTAAAAGGAGTTAATGGGTTAGATAAACCAATGTAACAATCGAACTAAAAGAAACTCACTTGAGGAAGTAAACAGCACCGGCGAACAGGATTAGCACCAGTAGGATCACAGCCAAGATGACGGCCAAGATGGAGAGCACTCCGCCCGACTCCGTTTGCTCCTGCTCGCCCTTCAGGGCATCGGCGCTGTCCACGAGGCACGGCACCACCTTGTCCTTGTCGCACAGGCACTCGTTGATGGAGCTGCCCGGCCGACACACGTTGCACTCTCCTCCGACGCATCGAGGTGGGAGTTCGCAGGCATTTCCCTGCCACTCGCCGATGCAGCTGCAGTGCGGACGAATGTACTCGTCCAGGTGGCAGACGCCTCCGTTCGCACAGAACCGCACGCAGGGATTGTCGTCCAGAACGGGCAGCGTGCAGAAGTCGCCGTTCCACTGATCCGTGCAGTTGCACAGCGCCACTCCCTTGATGACATGGCATGTTCCCGCGTTCTGGCAGATAATCAGGGTGCAGGGATCTCTGGTGGGCACCTTGGCATTCTCGCAGAAGTGCGGCGGACTGGAGGTCTTGCACAGATCCGACTCGCAGCTCTCGCCGATGAAACGGGGCGGGCAGGTGCAACTCAGGTGGCCACCGCGCTCCAAGCAGGTTCCTCCGTTCTGGCAGAAGTCCCGGCAAGAACTCGATTCGCAGTGCTCGCCGAAGAAGCCGCTGGGGCACTTGCACTGCCGCTGACCCTTGGTTCCGATCACACAGGACCCGCCGTTCTTGCAAAAGTCGGCGCACTCGTCGATCTCGCATCGCTTGCCCGTAAATCCATCGGGACACTCGCATTGCGGCGTTCCCGTCAGCGTTTTCCGGCAAATGCCGCCGTTCTCACAGGTGAGATTCTTGCAGTGCTCGCACTGTTCGCCGGTGAACATCTTCGGGCAACTGCACTTCATGCCCTCCGTTTCGGAGAGCAGACACGATCCACCGTTGTGGCAGCGACTCTGGCAGGCGGGCATGGAGGTCTCGCACCGGGCACCCGACCATCCCGCCGTGCAGGTGCACTTCAGCGGTGGCGGATCCTGGGATCCCGGCAGCTGCGGGGCCACCGTGCACACTCCGTAGTTCTGGCAGTAGCCGGAGCAGCGGTAGTGCTCGCACAGCTCGCCCTCGAACTGCGGCTGGCAGATGCATTTGGGCACGTGGTCCACGATCTTGCAGGTGCCCAGGTTGCACTGCAGCGGGCAGTAGTCGGGGATGTCCGCGTGCGCCATGCACACGCCATCGTTGGTCATCGCGTAGCCCTCGGGGCACTTGCAACTGTAGCCCGTGGAGGATTCCGAGGAGAGAATGCATAAAGCTCGCGAGGACCGGCAGGGATCCTTGGCGCAGGGATTGCTTACTGAAAAGAGATTAAGGAGTTTCGTTAAATAAGAGGTTCTGCAAATACTTATCTTGTTTTTATTTAACTTTTTGGATTATTAAACTTACTGTTCCTATTCTGCTTCATTGGATGCAGGATGCCGATGTCCGAGGAGCGGTAACCCTTCAGCAAATATGTTCCATTGTCGTTGCCAAACTTGTTCATCTTGATGATACTCTGATCGTACAGCTTAATGTACAAGTAGTCCTCGAACACGTCGATCTTCTGGGGTTTCTCCCGGTTTCCAAAGCGACGCACCACGTTGCGATCCTTGCCATTGAGGCGACACGTTTCGATGGTTCCCTTGCGGTAGTCAGCCCAGTACAAACGACCAGTTGGATAGTCCATGGACAAGCTGATTGGCCAGCCCACGTCGCGCTCCACCAAACTCTTCTTGTTGCTGCCGTCCAGAGAGGCCACCAAGATGCCGTTCTCCAGCGTGGACCAGATCATAATGCGCGACTCGGGCTCCAGGACAATGTCCGTGGGATTCATACCCGTTGACACAAGGGAGATGTACTTCTTGCCCTCGATATCGGTGGCTAGAATTTGATTATGCCGCGAATCAATGATGTACACACGCTGGGAGATCCAGTCAACAGCTAATGATTTGGGATCATCAAGCTCAGGAATCTGTAAGGGTATTATTTATAATATCTGTATGTTAAATGGTATCTTATGTTTTATTCACATTGAATGCAGTCAGCTCCTTGAGGTCACGGCGCACCCGCACTCCCGTGCCCTCCACATGCGGAGTGGCTATCTTCATGGTGTGCACCTTGCCGTGGTGTGAGTCAATCCAGAAGAGCAGCGTATCCTTTGGCCTGATCAGAATGTCGAACACGTCGATCTTGAGGCTGTCCGTTTGGAAGAAGCCCACCACGGTGGTGCCCTCCTGTTTGGCGGGCAGAATGAATCGGAACTCCTGCTCCGAGGCGAGCAAAAGAATCTGATCCGGTCCGGACGCCAAGCAGGTGGCGTTCTTCTCCGGACCCTTGTGGTAGCCATCCGCGCACTTGCAGTTGTAGTGACCCGCCTTCTTCTCGATGCAGATCTGCGAACAGCTCCCGAACCCACAAACCGGCGGCTGGCAGTTCATCTCGTCGGATCCATCGATGCAGTTATACTGCCCGTCGCAGCGGAAGAACTTCGAGATGCAGTCATCGTTCTCGCACTGGAACTGGTCGTGCCTACACTTGGGCAAAGCCGCGCACACCTCATCCCATTCATCCTCGTTCGTTCCGCAATCGTTGACGCCGTCGCAGAGCGCCGAGTTCCGAATACACAGCTGGTTTTGGCACTTGAAGGCGTTGGCGTGGCAGTGGGTCATGGAGCAGGTATCGAAGCTCTCGTCACTGCCATCGAGACAGTCGTCCCATCCGTCGCACTTCCAGCGGGACATGATGCACTTGCCGTTGCCACAGCTGAAGTGGTCGGCGTGGCAGGTGCAGTTCACTTCGTCGGACCCATCTGGACAGTCGTCGTCGCCATCGCACTTGTACTGCCTGAAAATGGAAGGTAATTGAACATGTAAAACAAATATTTAAGCTTCTTCTAAATGAGGTCACTATAAAAACCAAAATAGGTTTAGTTCTTGTAAGAATTGGCACCATTATTATTCCTAAAACCATTACTTAAAGCGTTAAAATTATTTTAAAAGAAAACTGATAACTGATGAACTGTATAAATTGACCAAAGGCTGGAAAACTATTAGTGTAAGTTTTTAAGTAAAAAGTTAGATGCAATGCAATTTGGCTCCCAGTGCTAAAATTGGCAGTTGAATCAGTGACCTTAAGAACCACTTCTGTTTGGAAACACACAAATTAACTTAATTAACCTTATGACACATTTCGAAGTAAGAAGAGGGTTATCCTAATGCCTTTCTTCAAATCGTTGATACTTTCTCTATTTCGTGCTTTAATGTATACGAACATCCTAGACGACCTAATGGAAATGCCCAAACCGAACTCGATCCACTCACTTGTTGATGCAGGTGTTGAAGGCGGCGCACTTGAACTGATTCTCCTTGCAGGTGATGTTGCAGTTGATCTCGTCGCTGTTGTCGTCGCAGTGGATCTCGCCATCGCAGCGGTAGTTGTGCTTGATGCACTTGCCCGTTCCGCAGCGGAACTCGCTCTCGGAGCAGTTGCGCATCTGGCAGTTCAGCTCGTCGCTGCCGTCGCCGCAGTCGTTCTCGTAGTCGCAGCGCCAGCGACCCGGAATGCACTTGGAGTTGTTGCACTTGAAGTAGGTGGGATCGCAGGTGGCCTTGGAGGTGAAGCAGCTGGCTGGTTCGTCCTCGCCATTGGGACAGTCGTGGTCGTCGTCGCAGCGCCAGGCGAGTGGAATGCATCGACCAGAATCGCATCTAAAATAAAAAATACAATGAGACAGCTGAGGGAGTGACCAGAAAGCAAGGATACTCACTGGAAGTCGTTGGGTCCGCAGGAGACGTTATCACAGTTGGCCTCGTCCGACTTGTCCGGACAATCGATGTCCCCGTCGCAGACCCACACGTACGGCATGCAGCGGTTGTTGCCGCACTGGAACTGGTCCTTCTTGCAGACGAGCGGCGTGCAGGCGGCCTCGTCCTCTCCACCGGGACAGTCCCTGACTCCATCGCACCGCTTCACGTTGTCGATGCAGAAGGCGCTCGAGTTGCCGGTGGCTCCGCACTTCATGTGCGTGTCGAAGCAGGTGAACTTGTCGCAGTTGAGCTCGTCGGAACCGTCGCCGCACTGGTTGGTGCCGTCGCAGAGGTTCGACGGGTGGGTGCACTTCTTGTTGGCGCACTGGTACTGACCCGGTTCGCAGTGGAAGGGCGGGCAGCTCTCCGGCTCGTCGCTGTTGTCGCCGCAGTCGTCCTGGGTGTCGCAACGCCAGTAGAACGGAATGCACTTGTACGTGTTAACGCACTCGAAGTGCGCCGCCGTGCAATTCGCTCGACAGGTGCGTCCGTCATCGGCCAGGATGAAGTTGGTGGGGCACATGCACTTGTAGTAGGGCTCCTCCGGCGAGAGGACGCACAGCGTGGAGCAGTTGGCCGCCAGGCAGGGATTGCCGCTCATCGGCTGCTGCTGGCGGTAGGGATGGAACACCCGCAGGTCCATCGGTCGGTGGATGGTGGTGATCAGAGTGGTGCAGTTGTGCTTATTGAAGATGCTGCAGTACTCTATGGACTTGGTCTCCCAGTCCGACCAGTAGATGCGTCCCTCCCACACGGCGATGGCGAATATGTGGTGCAGGTTCAGCAGCGGATTGATGCTCCTCGCCAGCAGCAGTCGCGTGTGGTTGCCATCCAAGTCGCTCACCGAGATGGTGTCCTCCCGAGCGTCGCCCCAAAACAGTTGCTGCGTCTCGAAGCTGATGGTCAGGGCGTTGGGCCAACCCAGACCTTCCCGGATGATCATCTTCGGGTTGGAGCCATCCATGCCGGCCTTGCCGATGTGCGGACTGTCGCCCCAGTCCGACCAGTAGATGTGCCGCTGGTAAGGATGCAGGGCGATGCCACGCGGCTCCCTCAAGTACTCGTTGATCAAGACCCGGCGATACTTCCCGTCCAGCTGCGACACCTCTATGGTGTCCAATCCCTTGTCGCACCAGTACAGGTTCTTGGCCACCCAGTCGACGGCCAACCCATCCGGGTTCTTCAGCATGGCCTGGTGCAAGGTCTGCGTCTTGTTCTCCTTCGGACAGTGCCGCTTGATGGTGCCCACTGTGCTGGTCACATCCGACCAGTACAGGCACTGGCTGTCCCAGTCGAAGTCCAGAGCCACCGCATTGGAGAGCTCGTTGATCAGGATGCTGCCATTGCCCGCCATGTCCACCTGGCGGATGTAGTAGCGGTTGGAGAAGATCAGCTCCATGGACACGTTGCTGGTGGCCTTGCAGGTGTGGTGGTCCACCAGGGCGTAACCCTTCGCACAGAGGCACTTGTAGGATCCATAGGTGTTCACACAGGTCTGCGAGCACGGCTGCTGCTCGTCGCACTCGTCGATGTCCGTGCAGAGATGCGGACTCTTCGGGAGGACCTTGTAGCCTGGGCGACAGTGGCACTGGTAGCCAACCACCTTGTCCTCGCACTCGTGCTCGCAGATGTCCGGGATAAGGCACTCGTTCACGTTGCACAGCTCCTCGTCCGAGTAGTCGGCGCAGTCGTTTCGCCGATCGCACAGCAAGTCCGCGTGGATGCAGGCGCCGTTCTTGCAGCGGAAGTCATCGGTGCCGTTGCATCCGCGGGTGTGGGCGCACAGGCTGCTCGTCTCGTCGGAACCGTCGCCGCAGTCCGGCCTGCCGTCGCACGTCTGGTTCTTGAATATGCACAGCCCGTTCTGGCACTGATGCATCTGCGATCCGCCTGGACAGGAGTTGGGCAGGAAGGCCGGCACACAGCCCTCGTACTCGTCGTCGCCTCCCGGGCAGTCTTCGTCCCCGTCGCACACGTAGTGCGAGTCGATGCAGAGACCTGAAAAGGTATTTTGAATTAGTACATACGATGTGATATAAATGGCACTTTCAACATTGGTTAAACAAAACTTACTCCAAGCCGTGTTGGCATTAAAAAGGAATAAGCCATTTCCCAGAAAAATCAAGTTTACTTCAAGGAAGTGTCTTTATATGTCTGTCGTAACCGAATTTGTTTGGAATTTATCAGTTGCAGAGCTTTTACTTCATTTCTCAAACAAATTAAGTTAAACTATTATGGGGAATCTCCTTCGAATGACATTGAAAAGAGAATATACGATCCGATACGGAATACCCTGACAAATCTGGTTGGTTAACTCGGACTAAACTTTGACTGCTTTTATAATATGTTTCTAATGTTGAATAGTATGAAATGAATAGAAAGGTACACCAAACTTTAATTTTGGTTTTCAGTTCTCTAATGATTTAATTATTTTAGAGTAAATTATCTCGGTCAATTATCTCGGTGGGACTGGAGGATTCGTTCCCAACAGTGCATTCCCATTCAATCAAGAGGAATTCAATCAAACTTACCACTGGTGCAGAGGTGAGCGGGTGGCGGACAGTCGGGAACGTGGGCGATGCCCCCGCACTGGGGACCCTCGTCCTCGCTGCCTGCGTTGTCGATGCCACTGGGGCAGTCCTTCTCGCCGTCGCACACCCACTTCTGGGGAATGCAGCGGCCGGAGCTCTTGCACTGGAACAGGTGCGGGCGGCAGGCTTGGCTGGGGCACTGCGGCCCCTCGTCCGAGCCGTCCTCGCAGTCGCTCTTGCCGTCGCACTGCCAGCTGGCCGGGATGCAGTCCGTGCCGCAGGCGAACTGGTCCCCCCGGCACTCGGTGCGGCAGTTGAGCTCGTCGCTGCCATCCGGACAGTCCTTCTCGCCATCGCAGTGCCAGGATCCGGCGATGCAGTTCCCAGCCGCACAGCGGAACTGGCCGGGGTCGCAGCTGAGGTTGGTGCGGTTGGCGCAGTCCAGCTCGTCGGTGCCATCGGGGCAGTCGGGATCGCCGTCGCAGCGCCAGCTGGGCATGATGCAGATGGTGCTGTTGCCGCAGTGCTCGAAGGTGACGTCGCCCACCTCGCAGGGCGTGGGGGCGCACATCTTCTCGTCGCTGAAGTCGCGGCAGTCCTTCATGTTGTCGCAGAGGAACTTGCGCGGGATGCACTCCCCGCTGCCGCAGCGGAACTGGTCCTGCTGGCACTTGCAGAGCAGCGCGGTCTCGTCGCTGCCATCGCCGCACTGCTGCAGGCCGTCGCACTTGTGCTCCTTGGGGATGCAGCGGTGGTTCTGGCACATGAAGTGCGTGTCCGGGCACTCGCGAAAGATGCAGTAGCTGCGCAGCTCGTCCGAGCCGTCCGCGCAGTGGGTCACGTTGTCGCAGGTCAGCTCCATGGGTATGCACTCGCCGGAGTGGCAGTTGAACTGCAACGAGCCGCAGCTCGTGTTCACCGGGGCGATGCAGCGGCGGCCGTCGGGAGCGAGGACGCCCTGGGTGCAGTGGCAGGTGGCCTGGCCGCTCTTGTCCAGGATGCACACGTCCTCGCACTGCCCGTTGAGGATCTTGCACTGATTCGCGTCGCAGTTGATGCTGCTGTTCTGCACCGCCACGATGCTCATGGGTCGGGTCACGTGCTCGCGCAGGAAGAGCACATCCGTGCCGGTGTACTTGTTCGCCCGGACCACGGCGTGGAGCACCCAGTCCGTCCAGAAGAGCAGGTCCCCGTAGACGGCCATCGCGAAGGCGTGCTTCGGCGTGGAGTGGGCCAGCACCACGCGGTTGCTGCCGTCATAGTTCGTCCGCTCGATCTTGTCCAGCCGCGCGTCCGCCCAGTACAGCTTGTGCTGCTCCAGGTCAAGGGTCAACGCATTGGGCATCTTGATGTCCGTCTTGATGATCATCTCGGTGCCGTAGCCGGTGAGATAGGAGCGCTGGATGCAGGGCGACTCCTCGTTCCAGTTGGTCCAGTAGATCATGCCCAGGCACGGCTCCACGGTGATGCCGCGCGGCTTGTCCTTCTCCCGCAGACTGAGCACGTTCTTCACGTGGTTCTGGTTCTGGTCCGCCTGCTCGGAGAGATGCCGCAGCTCCACACTCCGGATGGCCGCGTTGTTGTTGTTCGACGTCCAGAAGAGCTGCTCGTTGACGATGTCGTAGGCCAGGCCCTCCACTCGCTCCTGCTGGCCCAGCAGCACCCGCTGCCCGGTGCCGTTGAAGTGCACCTGGTTGATGGTGCTCAGGTGCACGTCCGAGTAGTAAATCAACTGCTCCTCGTAGTTGTAGCTGATCGCGATCACGTTCCGCATCATGCTGGTGTTGGAGATCATCTGGAGCGGCCAGTTCTTGTCGTTGTGGTCCGTCATGTGGATGCTCTCGATGCTGCTGCGGTAGCTGAAGAGCAGGAAGTTCTCGTACGGCTCGCAGCTGGCTCCGTCCGAGGCCAGCCTGCTGTGGGCGCAGGCGCAGATGGCGCTCGTCCCGTTGAACAGGCAGAGCTGCTCGCAGCCGCCGTTGCTGTGGGCACAGGGATTGCTGCCCCGCTGGAGGTGCTTGGAGTAGATCTTGAGGTCCCTGATCGCATCCTGCTCCGTCTGCAGCACCACCCGCGACTGGCTGAGATTGGCCAGAGGCGCCACCCGGATGATGCCCTCGTTGTACTTGTTCTCCGCCCAGTACAGATACTCCCCCATCTTGGCCAGCGCCACTGGATTGTTGAGGCTCTCATTGAGGAGCTGCTGCCTGAGGTTTCCATCGTAGTCCACCTTCATGATGGCGTCCGGATACCGCTCACACCAGTACACCCTGGTGGCCTCTATGTCCAGGATCAGGCTGCCAACCGCCCAGTTGGGCCGCGTTTGGTTGACCAACACGAAGGGCTGGCTGCCATCCAAGCCAACTCGTCCGATGTGCTGCTGGGTGACATAAAAGAGCATTCCCTGCAGCGGATCCACCGCCAGGGCAGTTGGCTTATCCAGATTGGACACCACCACGTAGCGATGGCTGCCATCCAGACGAGCCACCTCGATGATGTTCCGCTTCGTGTCGCTCCAGTAGATGTTTCCGGCCACCCAGTCGATGGCAATGCCACCCAGCCAGTCCTGCTGCTTGTAGCCCACGATGTTGAGCGCCTCCAGAATGGTTTCCCTCTGGGTGCCATCGCGTTTCACGCGGGAGATGCTGCCCAACTCGTTGTCGCCCCAGTAGAGCGTGTCCGTGGCAGCCAGGTAATCGATGAAGCTGGCCGAGCTCACCCGGGAAATGGGCACCAAAGCCTGATGAATAATAACATTTAGTTAAGCTTTATAGGGGAAAACTATTAACCCACCGGTAAGGGCGTGTCGAATTGCTCTGATGGATCGATCATCTCCACCCCCTGCAGAACATCGATGGAGTAGAAGATGAACTCCGCCCGCGGAACACAGCCGGTTGGATTGTTGGGCTCCACATCGTAGCCAAGCGCACAGCGGCACACGTGCTCCGTGGACGAGGTGGCCAGGCAGAGGTGGTCGCAGCCACCGCGAAGGGCCCACTTGGCACAGGTGTTCGATCCCATTTGGGCATCCGCATAGAACATTTTCATGCTCTGAATGCTCTCTGGAAATCAAGGAGATGTTAATGACGAGGATCTCACATTCAGAATTCCCTTACTTGTATTAACTCTCAGGTAGGACATGTTGGAGCAGGCTTCCTTCTCGCATTGCATGATCACATTCTGGATATTCTCCGGGAAGTACAGCGTTCCGTTGTAGACAGTCAGCGAACTGATCGAGGTGATCTGACTGGCCACCAGGACCTTGTGCGTCTCGTTTCTTGGAATGTCGTAATAGGCGATTCCCGAGCTGTCGTACGCATAGTACAACCGCTGCGAGTCAAAGTCCATGGCCAAGCTCTGGAGATTGTTCTCGTGCTCGTAGATTAACAATCTGCCTGAACCATCTAGATTGGATTGCTCCAACTGGGAGATGCTTCCATCGGAGGCGGAGTGTATCCAATACATTTTTCCACTACGAACAGATTAACAAAGATTTAATGAATGACTGGATTGATCATCAAGTTGACTTACTTAGCCGGGTCCAGGGCAATGCTGTCCACCATGTTGAGGTCCTCGTGAATGGTGGCCACGAACTCGCCCTTGAGATTGCTCGCCAGAATATTGCACTTGATTTGACCCGAGGAGAAGTACAAGTTTCGGGCCACCCAGTCGAGGGCAAAGCCATAAGGTTTCTCAATGTTCGTATTGATAATGGGTTCGATTAGTCCGTTCGAAATGCCGGCGCTTGAGATCTCGTTCTGTTGAATGTCCGACCAGAAAATGCGACTCTCGTCCACCAGGAAATCAATGCGTTGTGGAGCCACCAACTTTTGAGAAAAACAACATTCCAAAATAACAATAAATGGGTTTTTGTGATAGATTGACTCACCCTTGGAGACTGCCTGATGGTTGGAATGGTGTGGTGATTGGGCTGATGCAAGTCAATGCCCCGGATCTCGTCCACCATGACGAAGAGGAGGACCTGCTCGTTGGGTACGCAGTTCCGTTCGTCACTGGGATCCAGACGCATCACGTGCGGGCACTCGCACTTGAAGGTTCCCCTGCCACTCAGGAGACAGAGATGCGAGCAGCCGCCGTTGTTCTCGCCGCAGGGATTCCGATCCCACGGCTGTCGGCTGGAGTGCATCACCTGGATGCCGAAGGGCTGGGATTGGGTGCGCTGCAGCACCTGGACATCGCTGCCATTCCACTTGTTGGCGCGAATGACGGACGTGGTCCGCCAATCCGTCCAGTACACATAGTTCTCGAACACGGAAATGGCGAACGGATGCGAGAGTATCTCCTTGTTGCGCAGCACCACATGGTGCTCAGATCCGTCGTACATGGTGCTGCTGATGGAGTCCGACTTGGCGTCCACCCAGTACACCCTCTTCTGCGTGTAGTCCAGCGTCAATCCATTTGGCCATCCGGCACTCAGCTGCCAGCTGGTGGAGATCATGCGCCTTCCATCGCCCGACATGCTGGCCCGCTCGATCCTCGGCGAGTTGTCATCCCAGTCCGTCCAGAAGAGGAGACCCTCTCTGGGATCCAAGGCAATGGCGCGCGGGCTCTCCATGTTGCCGGCGATCAGTGTGCGCCGGAAGCTGCCGTTCAGCTTGGCCACCTCGATCTGGTCGAGATTCGAGTCGATCCAGTAGAGGTTCTTGCCCACCCAGTCCACGGCCAGTCCCTCGGTGGTGGACAGTCCCGAGTGGATGATGGCCTCCACATTCCGCAGACTCTCGCCCACCAGCTGACCCCTGTAGATCTTGTCGTCGATCACGTCCGTCCAGAAGATCTCCACGTTGGACTCGTTGTTGTAGAGGAAGTCCAGGGCAATGATGTTCCTCAGCGAGGTGTAGAAGTTGGCCACGTTCAGGGTCTTCAGGTTGACCCCCTTGATGTCCTGCTTGTTGGTGAAGATCACGTACGGCTCGTCCGGAGCGGTGCTCTTGCAGGTGAACCGATCGAAGCCCAGGTCGAATCCATCGAGGCAGCGGCAGTCGTAGCTCTTGCCGCTGGTCTCGCACACCTGCGAGCAGGTGTCCCAGTGGTCGCAGGCGTGCTGCATGCTGCAGCGCTTGCCGTTCGGCTGCAGGTACAAGTGGTCCGGGCAGGAGCAGATGTAGCCCTCCGGGGTGTTGTGACACCGGTGGGAGCACTCGTGCCCGCGTTCGCACAGCTTGTCCGCGCAGAGGAAGCCCTCGTCCGTGGTGTCCTCGCAGTCGTTCTTGCCGTCGCACAGCTGGTCCACCGTGACGCACTGCTTGGAGAAGCCGCACAGTCGGTCCGGGTGCTCGCAGATCACCGTCTCGTTCATGTCGAAGCGGGTGGCATTGATCTGCGTGCAGTTCAGCTCGTCCGTCTTGTCGAAGCAGTGCGGGATGCCGTCGCAGCGCAGGAAGTCCGGGATGCACTCGAACGGATCCAGGCAGGCGAACTCCAGCGGGGCGCACTCGCCCAGCTCCTTCCACCCACTCACTGGGTGGTTGTCGCTCTTGGTCTGGTTGCAGTTGGCCTCGTCGCTGAAGTCCTCGCAGTCGTGAATTCCGTCGCACATGTGCATCTCGCCGTAGCATCCAATGGGGCGGCAGTACTTCTCGCCGTGTCCACACTCCTGATCGCATCCCGTTTCATCGGCATTGTTTCTGGAGAGTTGGAATATTGTAATTGGAAAGTAGGAAGAAGTAAATCTAGAGATCTCACCCGCAGTTATCGATGCCGTCGCAGACATCTGCGAACTGGCGACACCGCCCATTGTTGCAGTCGAACTCCGGGCACTTGCTGGCGAAGAAGACCTCGGACAGCTCGTCGGAATCGTCGTCGGGGCCACAGTCGACCACTCCGTCGTTCACCCAGGTCATCTGGATGCAGCGGCCGCTCTTCAGGCAGGTGAACTCGTTGCTGTTGCAGGTGTTCTGCTCGCAGTTGGCCTGGTCCGTTCCGTCCGAGCAGTAGGCGATGTGGCTGCACAGCAGCGATCTCTGGTAGCAGCGGCCGTTGCATACGAAGTTGCGGGTCTTGTCACAGGTGCTCGGGTGGCAGGGACCCCTCGGATCGGAGCTCTCGTCGGTGCCGTCCTCGCAGTCCTCGAAGCCGTCGCACATGTCCTTGCCCTCGATGCACACCCGCGTGCTGCGGCAGATGAATCCCGAGGTGCAGTTGGGCCGAACGGGCGACGGAGCCAGCTGGGGGATGCAGTGGCTCCCGGTGCCGTTCAGGGTGAACCCGTCGGGACAGCGGCAGATGGCTCCCTTGGGCGTGTTCAGGCACATCCCCGGGCACTTTGACTGCGCACAAGCACTGGGTGTCTGCGGCATCGGCTGGGTGGCCACGTCGAAGATCCGCAGGTCAGCCGAGTGCCCAGCCCTCTGGAGATGCACTGTGGAACTAAAGGTGCTAGAGAGATTCGCTTGGTGTGCGTGGAAGCGCCAAATGGTGGAGTTCTTGTTGTCCGCCCAGTAGATCAGTCCGTTGTTCTGCACCATCGAGTACGGATGGAAGAAGTCCGACTTGAAGATCACCTCCCGCCCGGTGCCGTCCAGTCTCATGTGCTCGATGGTGGACAGTTGGATGTCGCACCAGTACAGCTCCTTGGTGCGACGGTCCACGTCCAGGCTGCGCGGCCACTTCATCCGCATCGCACTGGTGCTCTTGGCCAGCAGCTCCTTGTGGGTGCCGTCCATCCAGGCGCTGTAGATGCCCGCTTCGCAGGATTGCGACTCCCACTGCGTCCAGTAGAGCAGACCAGTCGTGGGATCCAGTTCCAGGGAGCTACCAAAATAAATACAAAACGAAGGGTAATGATACCTCTCGATTCGACTAAATCAATATCGTAACTTACATAGCATCACAATCGGTGCTGAAGGTTAAGACCTTGCTCAAGTTCCGCAGCGGAGCCACCTTTATGCTCTTGTGTCCGGACCAGTAGAGATGATCGTTGATCCAGTCGAATGCCATGGCGTGCACCATGTCCAGTCCGCTGACCAGGAGACGGGAGACACTGCCGTTGAGCGACTGGCTCCGGATGCTGTACGAGGGTTCCCTCAACTCCTCGTGATCCGCGACTCCCAAGTCGGGAACCACATAGAACACCGACTTGCCGCGAACGTTCACATCGATGGCCACCGCCCCGGATGCGTTGTATACGGGCACCATCACATCCGGCTGTTCGCCGATCTGCACCAACTGCTGCACTTGCTCGGTGTCCAGGGGAACGCCGCTGATCCTGGCCAGCCGGTTGTCGCTGAACACCAGGAACTTATCCAAGGCGGAGAGCAGACAGGTCGTCTGGTTGTGCAGCTTATAGCCTGCGGTGCACAGGCACTTGGCACTGGCGAATCCCTTCGTCCACTGGGGCACACAGATCTGATTGCAGCCGGCGTTGTTATCCCTACAGGGATGAGCCACCTCCGGCTGCTTTTGCCGGTGGAAAATCCTTAAATTGGCTCCGCGGCTCATATTCGAGAGGAGGACGCGGGCCTTCAGCGTGAATTTATCGAGCGCCACAATGCCGTTGGCCTTGTCCATCCTGGCTGACAGGTAAATTGAATTCTCAAAGACCTCCACATCGTGGATGCTCTTCAATGGCACCGGGGACTTAAAACAAGAAGGAAAACAATAATCATCAGACATTGGAAGCCCCGAAAAGTATGCTACGTATGAAGCCATTTTAAGTCAGGTTAATGAAAAAGGAAAAATACAGATGCGAAAAGTCGATTTAAGTTGTTTAACTGTCTTGCTAAATGAAAGCAGAGGCATGTATTTTGACTACATTTTAAATTCTTTTTTTGTAATTTGGACGAAGTAGAAAAATTAAATTAAATTAAATTTTCTTTTAATTTTTCAATGATTTATACGTTATATTTTAAATTGAAATTTTGAATTTTCCAAAGATTTATGTGTAAGCAGAAAATACTTTATTTAGAAATAATTTAGATCATATACCCACATCTGCATTCCTTTTGAGGGTCCACCGGTTCTGTCCCGCGTAGTTGACCCGCTCCACCACATCCTTGTAGATGTCAATCCAGTACACCAACTCATTCGCCAGGTCCAAGGTGACGCTGCTCGGATGATAAACTTGGTCAGTGACCAAAACAGTGCGATTGCTGCCGTCGAGCAGTGAACGCGACAAACTGGGCGTCCAGTAGTCCGTGTAGAAGAGAAACCCCTTTGTGGGGTCCAGCACCAAGGAGGACACGTGGTCGATCGGATGCAGAATCACGCGGCAGTAGGTCATCGCATTGGTGCACAGATAGACCAGCGCGTTCTCGTTGTTCAGCAAATACCAATTACCCGCCAGCCAGTCCAGGCGGAGCTCCGAAAATACTGCGGAGTACACGAAAAATTAAACCGGAAAGATGAGTTGAGATTACGACATTGAACTTGTAATACTCTTTCATATCAATTTAATGGTAAACGATAGTTGATCAACATTAAGAAATCTTTTTAAACGATTTAACTTATAAGAACCGAATAAAAAATTTTGATTTCTGAAATTACATAATTAACCTATTACAGTAAATACAAATTTGAGAACCGAATAAAATACGTCGCAGATAAAATTTAACCTTTTTCATACGATTATGGAACTTGAAGGTAAAACATTTTAGTTGAACTAATTTTAACTGATATTTGTTTAGAAATACGGGTTTTAATTATTTGTTCCCAATGCGTTTTAAAACATACAAACATGAAAAAAAGTTTCTAGTTTATAAAAGTTTTTAACCTTTTGTATATATTTAAAATGTTCAAATCTGTATCAGAAATATAATAAATCGTTTAACCAAACCAATTAAATTATTTTAAAAACCATTCAAAAATCTGTGGTTTTTAGACCAAAAAGCCTCTGTTTTCATACTGTTCATGAGTAAAAAGTATATCTGATATGTTAAGGAAAATTTTTTTAAAGTTTAATGCCCTTTGGAAGAGCACCAAAGCAGGTCGAGATAATCGGTCACTCACATTGCCGCGTGGGAACGAACGAGGAGAAGGGCAGCGTCCAGTTGACCTGAGCGTCATCGATGCGTTGGCACTGCATGTGGACGTCCTGCCAGCTGTTCTGGAGGGCGCAGAGGGATCGATTCCGATGCCACACCTCGAAGGCTTCGACGGTTCGCAAGGATTTCGTGGTCAGCAGTTGCTCCTCGGAGCCGGCGCCATCCTTATCCGTAACTTTATCAGTGTCCTTTACTCCCGCGGCACCGATGACTTCGCCATTGGTTCCGATGCGTCGAATGCCGCCGTCCTGCGAAAGGAAGGCCAGCGTGGCCGACTCCGTTGGTGGCACTATAATTTAAGAGGGATTAGCTCGATGGGTATCTCTGTGCGGATATGTGGCATGTTTCTGCGACCCCTACCATTGATGGCCCGGCAGCGCCTTCCCTTGGTCTTCGTGTAGCCAGAGACGCAGGAGCACTCGTAGGAGCCCGGCGTATTGCGGCACAGCTGGTCGCAGGTGCCCGGCTCGGAGCACTCGTCGTAGTCCACGCAGCGGGTGGAGTTCGCCGACTCCGGCACCTGACCCTTGGGGCAGTAGCAGCGTGCCCCCCGCCGGGGTCAACTTGCAGTTGTAGCTGCAGTTCAGCGCCGCACAGGCAGCGTTCTGCTTATCTGTTTGGGGAGGAAGGTTGCCATTAAGTTTGCTATCTAATTGGGCTTAAAATATCAAAAAATATTTAATCTGTTCAAAAAAATCAAAATTACACAGAAAGTCAATTTTAATATTTTCTTAGACAGCATCGATTAATGTTGAATGTTCAGTTAACTACAATAATTAGATATTAAATCTATTTTTTTTTAAATAAAAATGTTAAAAACATCAAACTTAACAAATAAATAAAGATATACATCGTAATAAATAAAAGTTACTAAATTAAATTGTAGCATTAACAGGATTTTAATATAAATATGTTTTTTGTGTTGCTAAACCTATCAGAATTTATGGAGAAAGAAAGATATTATAAGTTAATGAGTTTATATGCTATAAGAAAATTAAGCTAGATAAAATAATTCCCACCTAGAACTTTAGTGTATGTTACATAACTTGCACTTTTGTGATTTTTTAAAACAAAATAACGAAATTGTTTCATAAAGAATCTTAAAGAATTTAAACCAAAAACTACATACTTCTATCTTCTTCGAATTGCATATAGAGCATATATTATATAAGCAAAACCTCGTTGTTTAAGGATTAACAGAACACCCTGCAAACAGTGCTGGCCAAAGGCACGCTATCGAGTTGACTTTCGGCGGGCCAATTAGCCGCTTCGGCCAGTCGGCCACTGCACTTACCACATTGCAGCTCATCGTTATCACAGTCCCAGCGGCCATCGCAGAAGCGGGACAACTCGAGGCAGTCGCCGTTGCGACATCGGCCCTCGAAGGCGCGGCACTTGGGCGTATCGCCATTCGGACCTGGTCGAATAGGGGGATGATCAGGAGGGTTTCGTCAGTGGGAGGCGGGAGGCTCCAAGGCCCGCGGCTTACTTACAGTTCAGTTCGTCGGATGTGTCGCCCTTGCCGCAGTCGAACTCCCCGTCGCAGAGCCAATTGTCCGGGATGCAGTGGCGGCTCACCCCGCACCGAAACTGCCCCTCGTTGCACTTGGGCGCCTCGGCTGCAAAACGGAAAGGAACAGAACAGAACCAAGTTGAGTACACTCAATGCTCCACACTCCGCCCGTACAATAACAATAACCGAAATGAAGATTTATGGTGGGGTTTGTTAGTGGTCTTGGGGCTGCTTCGTTGCTCTGCATTTTGGCCAACAAAAAAGTGGCTGCTGCTCCGGCTGCTCTGACTGCTTCTGCTGTTGTTCGTACAAATCGCTGAATTATTTCGCGAGATATCGTAAATAACACGCAAACAAGGGCAGTCGTGACCAACTTTCGGCGGATATAAAAGTTTGAACTTCCACTTAAAGTGGAAAACCCTAGAAATAACTGTATAATCCTGGCTCCTATAATTCGAAAGGGAAATGTTGGGGAAGAGGCAAAGTGTCATTGATATGGTTATCGGGTTCAGGGTGCAGTTTATATCCAATCAGAATATTATGATATTTCCACATGCAACCAAATAGTAAACTTCAATTAAGAATGTAAGAAAAAAAAACTAACTTATATGCACAGTATATTTCCTGTAGGGATACATATATCTTGAAGGAAACCCAATTAGTTTTTTGACCATCTGGCGACGCAGCATTCTAAAATGGAAAAAAAAAACCCCTAGCTTCATTTTACTCCTTCTTCGCTTCATGGTCATTACCCAATTAGCTTGGCTTTTATTAAAGCAAATGAGTTTTATTCTCATTTTAGGGGGTGACAATGGCCAACCCCCGAAAGGCCACGAAAAAAGAATTGTGACAAATACGCTTGGCTAAATGGCACGTTAATTTTTTGAGTTGACTTTGCTTCTAGTTAGTTCAACTCCCCGAGGCACTTGAAAATGTTTAACAATTGCCCGGCAACATCATTTTTGACCATTTTCGAGGGCCAGAGTTGATTAAATAAATGCTGGGGTCCCACCCTGCTCCCAACTCCCCCATCCACTTGGCTGGTGGTCAACATCCCAGGGCTCCAACTCCGACACGGCTCCCTTGACGAAATTTCTGGTCCTGGTTTCGTTTTCGCCGTTTTCTCCGTACCCTTCTCCGCACTTTTGGGTTCGGGGTAGAATAAAAATGTAAACTTTACTGTGGACCCCGTGACTGCATGCCCTTGGGCTTATTACGTATTATATCCGTGTTGCCATCCGCCAACGGATGCCATGCAAATTGCCACGCGAATCCGGGAAAACGGAAAAACGGGAATACGGAATACGGAAGCGCGACAGCCGGAGACATGGACACGTCCAATTCTTGTCTCTGGAGTTTAACCTCTTGGCAAGCAAAATATTTTTGGCCGTTCCCATGTGTCGCCGGTGTGGCTTTTATGGTTATAGTCGCGCATGTCGGTCGAATGCCGCTCCTTCTGCTCCACCTCCAGTCTCCTTCTTCTCCAGCCTTCTGCCTCCTGCCCTCCAGCTGTCTCCACCCAATGCCACCCATTCGCTTTCGAGGCATTGTCATTGCAGCCTTTGATTTGGACCACCAATGCGGAGAGAATACAACGCGTTATTTGAATTCTTCTTTGCACATTTTCCTTTTATTTGTGTCAAACAATTTGCATCTCTGAAATGCTCGCAAGGAGCACAAGCGTATGACTCTAGGAAAGCAGGAAAATATTATAATATTGTTCGAAATGTCAGCAGCATGGGAACATTCCGTTTCCAGTGAAATGAGGAGAGAGACCTCGTAAAAGTTGATACACTCGAAAATGGTTAGTAAATATGTGCAAAATAAGAATGAGCAGAAAAATGACAATAAAGTTCACATCTAAATATCCTTAAAATATTTGTTGTGGATGATAAAGGAAATGGGTATAGAAACACTATTTTGAGCTGATGAATTAATATCCCATTCTTTCCTTTTAATTTTGAGTTCACTAATCAAAAATCTAACAGAGTAGGGCCTTATACATTTTGTTATTATAATTCTAAAAGTTCGTGAAAAGTTCACATTCATTTGCATTTTAAATTCCCCTTCGTGGATTTTCCCTCCCCCAAATGATTCTAATAGAAGCGGCAACTAAAATATTGCCGAAGCTCAAATATTCACAGTTTTTAAATCCCGAGAGTCCATTTAACTCAAGCCCCATTTAAAAGTTGCGTATAAATTTGAATAACATTTATATGGAGCTGAGATCTGAGGAAACTTTTTTGTCGCTAGTGTAACGAGGCCAGTTTAAATGCAATATATCAAGAGGCTTATATATATGACAACACTTTATAAACTTTATGTGCGTGTGTGTGTGTGGCTGACTTTGACTCTGTGTGTGTGTGCCTGCATTCAGTTCAGTTCAGTTTAATTGAAATTGCGCGAACAGGGAGAGGGGGGCAAAACATAAGGGGAAATGGGGCGAAGTTGGGCGAATGTAGATGACAACGAAGTGCCAGGCACATTTATTATAATCTGTTGCATTAATATTTGCCGACAATTTGTCGTCTGAGTTGTCGTTCTCTCGCCAGCTGCAGTGCCATAAAAATTAAATTAAAAATGCCAGAAGAACTCTCTCGACCAGCAGCAATTGTTGCAGTTCGCAGCTCGCTGTTTTCGTTGGACGAAAAAATGTGAGATAAAAATGTCTACACATTAATTTTAGCCCTGTGGCTTTTCCCCCTTATCTTTCAGCCCTCGAGAAAATTAAGGACAAGCGCTTTAATTTCCCACTGACAGGCGACCAGAGTTGGCTTTTAAGTTCCATGGCTGGGCTTTCAATTTACGGATTTGTCGGCCCAAAAATGGTTCGACAACTAATTGCATTTGCTACGGACAGCAGGTGAATGGGCCGGCAGTTTGGGCCATGTATTTGCGGTGAATTTTTAGGCCCGCCCACCTGTCATTAGGACGGACACACTGGGAATGGCCCAAAAAGCGTTCCGACCAAACAGTCAAACCAATAATAAAGCAATCACCGCCTGCTAATGTCCCCAGCTGGGAACTGGGAACTGGGAGTAGGAAGCAGGGAGCTCTTGTGGATTCTGAGCGGGCTTACACGGATCGGGGGACACATTGAATACTCACCGCACTCGCTGCCCTCGTCGGACATATCCGGACAATCGGCCTTGGAGTCGCATTTCCATCGCATCGGTATGCAGAATCCATCGTTGCATGTGAAGTACGAGGCTGGACAGGGACCTGCAATGGGATAGATGACGGAATAATGGTCACTCACTGGCCGATAAGGAAGGAGGAAGCGGGCGAGCGAGGCTGGCATTTAATCATTTGGCTCTCGGCCAAGTTTGAATTTTAATGAATGCAGGGAGGCGTGTGGATCGAAACAATTATGGTAATCTCTGGAGGTTCCAGTTCCATTGATATTCATGCCGACCATATGCTCGAGGCTTTGACCAGACATTAATCTTTTAATTAAAAGATCAATAAGACACTTAAGGTGTACTGTAACCATACCTTAAATCCTAATTTATGAGCAATAAAATAAGGTAGTGACTGATACATTCAGTGTACTTAGTATTAATGGATACTTTGTATACAGCAAATAGTTTAAATACTCATATTTTCGTAACTCTGAATGAGAATTTACATCTGTAATGACGGCGCATTATTCTAATCGAGTTCCCAATCAACGCACGGACACATAACTTATTCCCGAATAATAGCAACTTCAATCACTTGATCCACAGCTGTGGCCAATAGGTTGCCAAATTATTTTTCCATTTAATATGCAGAGTGGGGACGTGTTAACGCCACCTTGCCAAAAAGCCTGATGCTGCTCCACTCTCCTTCCTGAAAACGCCAGATAATTCCAATGTTTATGCAGTTGTTGTGGCCCCAGTACGTGCCTACAATTAAACATTAACAACGGAGCCACATTGTTGCTAGCCAAATGCCAGAGTACGTGACTCAGGAGCACTGCATCATTAGCCGGGTCGAAGCTGTTCCTAACTTTTCGTAAACAATAAAAAACTAATTTAAATTTGCTTAGCGCATAAATAAGTGGGTGTCGGAAGTGTGTCGAGCTTCCCGATGGTAAAGAATTTCGCCCCCAGAGGAACCGCTTTCCCAAGTCAAACAAAGTCTTTCCCCCACTTGTTTACTCAGCCGCCCAAAAGCTGAACCCTGAGCTGCCATAAAAGCCAGGGTTTGGGGTTAGTGCAGCAGCATAACGCATCCATCAGTCATGTCATCGAAGTGGCTCTTGTTCGTTGCCCTGGTGGCACTACTCAGCATCGGAACTGGCACCTTGGCCTCGCCAAGGAGGACCATCCAGGCCAGACCCGATCCGGAGCAGCTGAGCCGCCTCCAGCGCCTGAATGCCAGGTATTATGCCGACGAGCAGGACGATGAAGATGGCGATGACATCCTGGAGCACGAAGAGGACCTAGCCGACGGTGCTGATGAGGAGCTGGAGGAGATTGAGAACGACGACGACACCCTGGCTGAGGTAGACCAGGAAAATGAAGCTGAGAAAAAGGAGAGGAAGATAGTTAAAGCCTCACCAACAACTACGACACCAACTACGATGGAACTGGGCCAGGACACCGCTTCAGCTCGGGCCGAGCCACGCAATCGCCGGCGAGGAGGAAGGCGTAATGGCCGCAGGAGGCGTGGCGGCAGGCGGGGCAACCGCAGGTGCGGGGCCAAGGGAAAACGCGGTCGACGCGGCCAGCGCAGACGCTCTCCGTCAAAGAAGAGTGGCAACAAACGGCGAGCGGGCTCAAAGAACAAGCGAAATGGCCAGAAAAACAAAGCAGCCACCCAAAAGCCAACTGCTGCACCGTCCACAAAGGTGGCTTAAAGTGCAATAAAATGCACTACTACCCATAAATGCAGCTAAAGAACTCATTTAAACAGCAACAACAATTCAAATAAATATACAAAACCACATTTTTGATTTCTTTTTTTCATTTCCTGGTTGTTCTTCAAACAAATAAAAAATGTTACTCTTAATTTTAATTGGGTCAAATCGAAAGAGATTGACCAATGCAGTCAAGAGGTATATGAAATACAATTACCATTTATATTTGGTCGACTTATATTATTTTTAGAATTATTTAACTGTTTTATACCTGCCTATAAGCCCATTCAATTAAATATAAGCCGCTCATACATGTTTTTTATTGCTTTAAGTTTATTGCAGTTCTATGCTCTTGTAATCCGTTAGATTAAAAAGTATATAGGAACCGAAGTATTCAATGTTGACAGGAGAATGCCTTGGCAGAGTGGTTTGTTTTAGATCGGCTGGACAGTCAGATTTAAGGACGCACATTCTGCGATCACCATCGATTATATAGCCTTCCTTGCAGACGCATGGCCCGCCACACTTGTCGAAACAGAATTGGCTCACAAACTCACAAGTTTCGGGACACGGAGAAGGACACCTTGCCAAGGTTCCATTAACAGTGCAATCTATTTTTGTTAAATCAGGTTCCAGAGAAGCCAGTGCAGAAAAGCTAACGATTGAGAAATATATTAAAACTAAACTGATCATCTCTCAAGCTATCCAGATGTAAATTGAAGACTTAGAAATTTTAGCCAGAAAAAATAACCACTGTGCCATGAAATTAGAATTAGCCAAGCGTTGGCATGACAAACTGGATTTTCTAGTTACTGCTGAATAAATTCCATTTATTTCCTGAGAGGCGAATATATATTTCTCTGCGTAAAGATTTTTTCAATTTGAAATTTAACTAAGTTAAACATGTTCAGGTTACCTGCAGTGAATTTATTTATATTCCATTTCACGGAATTTATTCAGTCTAACGGAGGAGAAACAACGATCTGCTTATATCGCTTTATATATCCGTGCGGATAAACTTTATTGTAGCATACTTTTCGGACCGAGAACTCACGTATTTCACCGGAGAAAGTTTTTATCGCGAACTCATATACACAGGTGTGTTTGCCAGGTAGAAACCGCAAGTCATAAATTTCGCCAGCTATTCCGCTTTTGTTATAGTGCTTTTTTATGTATTTATGCTCGGTATGCTTGCACGACCCCATAAATTATAGAGCGCTGCAATTTCGTTTAGCGGCTTTCGCACCGTTCGAAATTAGTTTTACGCCTCTTTTTGATTTAGTTGATATTGAAGTTTAGTGCTTGCTCCACATAAAACCGAAATAAAGGTTTGGCGCTGCAGCTCGTGAGGCAACTTCATTTCGAACTCCGGCCGTGATGCACTCAATTTCAGTTTGTTTTCCCTTCAGCTTATCTTTTGCCATGGCTGCCATTGAGCCATTGAGTTCGTTTACCTGCCAGCGTCGTCATGCCAATGGTTTATTCAAGGATGTTCCGCCGAAACTTCTTTCGTTTTCAGTTGGATTTCGGCTCAAAGGTTTCAAGGAATTGGGGATATGTAAATAAGAGCCTTCATTGCTTATTAAGATGAGACAAAGATAAACAGAAAACACTTAAATGAGGTGAATTAATTGCCATAGGATATTACACTGCAATTGGTTGTGTGTTATAAGTACAATTTCTTTTAAGTTTTTTTTTTTGACTTAAAACGGTTTTGTGTTTGAAAATATTAACACATTAATTCAACAAAGCGAAATTCAGCTTTTTGTAATTGCTTGTAAAATATTACAAAGCACAAACTTAATTAAAGATAATTTTTATTGCATTGTCCCACTGCGATGCAATTCATGCGAAATTCCTTTTGAGAACGCTGAGAGACGTTATCCTGTGTGTTTACTCTGTCTACCTGTAGCCAATTTCGAGTTGCTCTTATCTGTCTGGACTGCTGTTGGCAGTTGGTCAAGCACAATGGCATGGGGCACGAGCTCCTCTGGGGTCCGCTGAAAATAGTTGAGTGGGTGGCTGGTTCAGTCCTGTCTCTGTTTCAGGACCTCGTCCTTCCCAAAAGCGTCGGCCAGCCAACGGATGCCTGGCACTGACATTTACCAAATCAAATAGAAATTTTAATTGACTCTTGGCTGGCAGGACGTGCCAACGCTTTAGATTCCGACTTGGTTCCTGTTTTTTGGAGCCCTGCTCCTGAATTCTATTGGCTCTTTAACGAAGCCCTATTACTTTGGCTTTAAAGCCCGTTGTCCCAGCTATTTGCTCTGATTTGGAGCGACCCGACCTCTGTCCTGAATATCCGCTTGTTTTTCCATCAACGGGAAAACGGGTTAAGCGCCTTTTGGGCTCGAAGGGAAATTTGCATCTGTCGCTGTTGCGAATTATGTGGGCGCACACGGAAAGCAGAAAGTTTCGGATTCAGGATTCAGATCCAGTTCAGCAACACTCCCACCACCACAGCTCCTCCCCCCTTCGTTTGTCAACAGCTTTGCCCGCTTTTTATACCCATTACTTTAAGAAGGTCAACGGATTTGTGGATCATCGCTCGAGATGTTCGAGGTATGTTAATGAATTATCATTCTCAAAAATAGTAGACTCACTTCGCTAGTATCCTAAAATCTTTTCAAATTAACAACACTTAATTCTTTTTCCTTTAATGCGATTCAATAACAAAACCTATTAAAGAAGTCAACTTCAATATTTTAAAGATATTCAACATTATAAAAATATAATATTAAATATATTATTATAGGTAAGGTTATGTATTTTGGCTAACTATTTATAAAGAAGGATAATTATTGGATTCATAACACGCGTTTCTGTATACAATATAAAGCACTGAGTACTTTCTTGTCGTAACTCTCGAGTTGAACTTTCCTTCTCGTTTTTTGTTCATGTTTTTGTTTGCTTTTTGGGTCAAAAAGATGTGTGTTGTGCGCGTTGGTTGTCTGTGTGTAACATAGTTTTTCACTTAATTAGCGCGCTGAATGACGCGTTGACAGTTGGCAGGAGTACGTGCCACGCCTGAGGGGTATGCAACACACAATTTTCCGTGATTGTTGTTGTCGCTTGTTGTCTGAGCGGAGCGGCAGTTGTCAGCTGAGCAATGTGCCAGTGATTTCTGGGATTTTTTTCGCTGCCTGAACTTCAAACTGCAGCGAGACAGCGTTTATAATTAAGGACAATTGGTGTTTATTACGGAAATAAAAGGTCAACAAATTGGTATTGAAATGTATCAAACACCAACTTAAATGAAATTGCATTTGCAATGAGCCTTTTAAATTTTAACGTGTTCATGTGTAAATTGGTACGATCTTTATTTAAAAGTTAAGTGACATATAATGTCATTGCATGTTAATATATTTGTTATATAAACAATCAGTCTTTTACAACTTTATTATATATATGTTATTATATAGATTTAATTATCTCTTTAAATTACCTCCACTTAAATTGCAAACTACGATTTCTACTTTCTATAATCACGAGTAAACAGAATATAATTACCACTTAAATTCACAAGGAACTCAAGAGCCCGGGACTCAGAAAACCTTTCAACCAGAATTAAGGCCATGAATATCGTAAACATTTTCACTGCCGGCAGCCGACGAATTTCCGTTGTCAGCTCGTGCAATTTGCAGTTCACACATCACTTTTACTTAAGCCATCTCCCATTTCAATGATTTTCAGCAGCTTCTCATCTTCTTATGCCTTTAATGAAAAACTTTGTGGAAATTTGCACAACGCCCGGAGAAAATTCTTTTTTGATGTCACATCATTTATTGCAGTTACTTTTAATGAGCGGTATCAAAGCATCTGCTTTCGCACTTGAAAAACCGATGCCTGAAACCTATTTGGGAAACCAACTTCACGGTTTAAATTTCACTAAATTTTCAAAGTTTAGAATAAAACCTTTTTTATGTAAGTACAACGAGCGGGATAAACTTCAATAGGGGAAATAAAGAGCTTCAAACATTTTCGCTCTGTTTTTATTTGTAAAGCTAAACAACAAATTTGTCAAGCTTTTGAAATTAAATTTAATGTCGAAAGTATCCTCTGGTGCAAAAGGCTCAAAAAGAGTGACAAAAAAAAAAATGGCGGGTGGAACAGATTTGCGCGTGGACATGGCTAAAAGCAAACCGTGGAACCCGGAGGAAGCAGGAAGCCGGAGCTGCATCCTGTGGGATTTTCCCCGCTGCGGTGCCGGTCAGCATCTGGCCGTACATACAAATATGGCGGCTTCCGCTGGCATTCCAACTTCCTTGCACTGCGGTCTCAATTTTCATTTATATCGACAGCGCATTCTGATGCGATATCCTTGCCCGCTCGTCTCCCCATATCCCATGTCCCTATGCATAATTTAATGCACTGAAGTGCGCATAATGAGCGTGATTGACATAAATGTACTTTAAATGCATACGGGAATTGGATCTGAGTTGGGACTGCAGAAGGGAATGGAATCGGGGGAAGGGGGGCAACCGAGTTTGCGGGCCATGACAGGCCAAACAAAGTTGCAATTTGGCCTAAAGTGATGGCGATTTGGATTTTCCCGGAAAATGTTATGATTTTCGTTTATGCACTATAAACATATAAAAAAGGAAATTTCATAAAATACCAGCGTGAACAGAAAAACATCACAAAGGATTTTCTAAAAACTATTTAGATGGCCGGGAAAATGTTATAGAAAATATAGCAGTAGGAAATTGAATAAATAAATGAAAAGGCTAACACAGTTTGTTGTTTATTAATTATTTTATACTGGTCGAGTCCATTGTTCTTTTGGCTTAATATTTCGGAAAGTCTGGCTGGCATCTCCATATGTTTGGAGGGTAACAACGAAAGGGGAAATTGGGGATAGCTTTGGGCCAGATAGCCGTGCTTGTTTGCCGTGGACATTGGACTTTGCCGGCGTTTTTGGTTTCGGTTGGCTCGCTCGGTTTGTTGTCTGTGGCCGTATGTTTTCGGCACTTAAATCGAGTTTATTACGTGCTTTCTGCCCGGCCAAATGGAGAAAATGGAGGCTGTGCCACAGCACTCCTAAAAGCCAAATCACTTAGAGCCAAAAAGGAAAATAAAACTTTAA